CATCCGTCATGTCGCGCCGATGAGAGTACGCGCGCTCATTTGTCTTGCCTGTGACGTCAGTCTGCATCACGCGTGCACCCCCTCCTGCCATGGCATGCATTCTTGTGCGCCCTCTGACGTATTTCCATGCACGCCCCCCTCTTCCCCCCTTCCCCCCCACCCCTGGCCCCCAGGGCAAGCTGGACACTGAGGCGTACCTGGAGCGCAGCGGCGTCAACTGGACCTCCATCCGCCCCGTCTACATCTACGGCCCCCTCAACTACAACCCCGTGGAGGAGTGGTTCTTCCACAGGTGGCCGGGGCGCAGGACGATGGGGGTTGGCGGTGGGGAAGCAGGGGCCGCTGCAGTTGACAGGGCAAGTGGGAAGGGGGGAAGCAAAGTGGGACGAGAGGCGTGTACAGGGCGGGTTTGGTGCAGTGTTGTCAAGCACGGTCTTGTAATGGAGGGAACCATAGTACGGGTCTGGGTTGCAAGGGAAAGGTGAGTGAGAATCTGTATGGAGCACGGGGCCGTCAAGCGTGAAGTCGTGCGATCTCGGCCACAGCTCGGGCGCTTACTCTCAACCATGCCCTTTCATTGCAACCTCACTTGTTGCGCCGCAGGCTCAAGGCTGGCCGCCCGATCCCTGTCCCCGGCAGCGGCCTGCAGGTGGGTGTGAGCCCGCGCCGCTTGGGCACCCCCCTGCCTTGCACGCCTTCGCAGCGCACCCGCTCGTGCGCAGCATACATGAGCACAGCGCAGCCAAGTGGCTCATGGGGTACTTCTCGCCCCATCCTGACCTGCGCTCACCGCCGCAACCGCCCTTCTGCCCGCCTCCCCACACGGCCCCCTGTACGATGACGTCACCAGGTGACCCAGCTGGGCCACGTGAAGGACCTCTCTGACGCCTTCGTGGCCGCCCTCGGCAACCCCAAGGCCTCCCGCGAGGTGAGCAGGCCGTCCTCGCATTCATATGCACCACGCATACACACCTGATGCAGGGTCGCGGCCTGAAACTGTTGTGCTGCGCACGCCGGCAGCGCCCATCCTCGCTGCAGCCGCGTCTCTTGCCCTGCCGCCGAAACCCAACCCACACCCGTGAACCCCGCAACAACATGACCGCAGGTCTTCAACATCAGCGGTGAGCGGTTTGTGACGTTTGACGGCATCGCCAAGGCGTGCGCCAAGGCCATGGGCGCCCCCGAGCCTGAGCTGGTGCACTTCAACGCCAAGGACTTCGACTTTGGCAAGAAGAAGGTGCGTGAAGGGGGTTAGTGGTGTGGCGCAGGGGGCGGGGTTAGGCCTGGATGCAAGAAGGTGCATGAGCGCTTGTTTGCCAAGAGGGGCATCCGTCAGGGAGGCCCCTCTCTTGCTCTGTCCAGACAGCCGGAGTCCGGCTGGCGCCAGATCCACGGCCGACCGCCACGGCCGGACAACTTATGCTCCTGCGCCAGAGACGCGATTCTGACCTTCTGCATTAAACAATTCCCGCTCTCACCCCGCCTCGCCGCGGCCCCTGCTCCCTGCTCCCCGCCCCCCAGGCGTTCCCCATGCGCGACCAGCACTTCTTTGCGTCGGTGGACAAGGCCCAGGAGCTGCTGGGCTGGACCCCAAAGTTCGGCCTCGTGGACGGACTCAAGGTGGGGGGGGGGTGACTCTGGGGCTGCGTGCGTTTGCTGGTGATGTACTTGTGCTGGAGCCAGCGCTGCAAGCTGCGAGAAGGAGGATATTGTATGGCTGGTAGTATGGTTTGCAAGGCCACCAAATTCCCACGGCCCCCAGGCACATATGTCGCCCAGGGGTCGACCGGCTAACTTGAACACAAATCGATTTTCAAGCCGTGGCATTTGCTCTCCGACCATCCACTTTCCTCAGCTCCTCCTTCCACCACCGATGTGCCCTCCACCCCCCCCCCCCCCCC